AGGAAGAAAAGGTCTAAAGGAGTAGGGGAAGCGGGAGGGGTAGGGGAAAGAAAAGAAGGGAAAAGAAAAAATATGAGAAAAGGAAAAAATGGAAACAAAGTCTTTGTAAATAGGGAAGGGTGGAGGGGGCAGGGGAATGGGGAAAAAAATAAGAAGCAGGATACATCATGTAAAGGTACAAGATGCCAATGATGAATGTAACTGTACTGTATACCTAAAATGTACCAATAAAATTAATGAAAAAAAAACACAAATCAAAAGACATCAAGGAAACTGGTTAACAAGCAACAAAGGACAACTAGCTAAACTGAATTTCACAAAATTTAAAAACATTTATATATCAAACACACTATCAACAGAGTGAAAGACAACCCACAGAATGGGAGAAAATATATAGAAAATATATCTGTTAGGAGCTGGGTGTGGTGGTGTATGCCTGTAATCTCATCACTTGGGAGGCTGAGGCAGGAGGATTGCTGGGAGTTTAATGCCAGTCTGGGCTATGAAGTGAGTTCAAGGGCAGACTGGGCTACAAAATGAGTTCAAGGCCAGCATGAACTACATAGAGAGACCTTGTCTCAAAAAACAAATTAAAAAAACAATAACAGAAAAACAAAATGTAACTGTTGGGGTTTTAATAGCCCAGAAATACATACTCCAACTCAACAACAAAAAACCCTAAACAGTCCAATATGAAAATTGTAAAAGGTCTTGAATAGACATTTTTTTCAAAGGTTCAGTGGATCTCTATTGTTTAAAAAGAAAAGCCAGGGATGGTGGTATATCCCTTTAATCCCAATATTGGGGAGGCTAAAGCAGGAGAAATATCTGGCAGTTTAGGGAGGATCTGCCTCAAAGTTTTAAAAGGTATGGGGATGTAGCTCAGTTGGAAGTCCCTAGGTTCAACCCCTTTCCACTGCAAAAAAATTTTAAAAAGAAAGAAAGAAGAAAAGAAGGAAGGGGAGAGAGGAGGATAAGGGTTGTGAGGAGAGAGAAGAAATGAGAGGAAAAAAGAAAAGAAAAACAAAGAAAAGAAGAAAGGAAGGAGAGGCAGGCAGGTAGAAGGGAAGGAAAAGAAAAGAAAGTTTGGTTGGTTAGTTTTGGGGAGGATGTGAGAAATAGGCAATCTGGCATGTTGCTGGTAGACAATACAGTGATTTCTCAAAGAGTAGCACAATCACAGTATGACTGAACAGTTCTACTCCTGGGATCTACCCCAAAGAGGAGCAAGCGAGGACTCAAACAAGTATTTGTACAACCATAGCTGTATTATTCACAATAGCCAAATGTTGAAGAAACCCAAAATTTCAACAGCAAATTAACGCATAAAAAGTGTAATTTACACATACAAGGGAATATTTTGCAGCATTGAAAATGAAAACAATTCTGATACATGCTACAACTTGGATGACTCTTGAAGGCATTATGCTATAAGAAATAAGATAGTCACAAGGAAAGCTATAGAGTGTGACTCCATATGTATGAGTTTCCTAGGAATAGTCAAATCCAGAGATGTGGAATAGAATGGCATTAACCAGGGGTTGGAGTGGTGGGGCTGGGGAGTTGTTCTTTAATGCACATGGAGATTCCATTGGGGAAAAGGAAGTACAGCTGTGAAGTTGAATGATGGTGATAGTTACACAACAAGAATGTACTTGATACCACTGAACTGTGCACTTCAAAAGGTAAAAAGGATAAATTGTAGGGGTTAAGTTTACCCATACATACATACTTACCTGTGTGAAAAAGAAAACTGACTCAGTGAGTTTTCAATGCACTAATTCATTCTACCACACAATAAAATAACGATGTTTACCCTGTGCAAGTTTTACATTTAAATTAATAATAAATAATAATAGGCTTAAATAAAGTATCAGCATTTTCTCAAAATCAAGATCAAATTTATGCCAGGTGTGATTGTGCATACCTGCAATCCCAGCACTCAGAGGCTGAGGCAGAAGGATCACTGAGAGTTTGAGGCCAGACTGTGCTACACAGTGAGTTCAAGGCCAGCCTGGACTATATAGTGAGATCTTGTCTCAAAACAAAGCAAACAAACAAAAAGATACAAATTTACTTACCTATTCTGGAATAAAGTGCAATGATTTCTTAGCCCAAGGAAAATGCCACCAATAACCACTCCCACTATGAATGGGATAGTTGCCTTTTCAATATGAAAAAGGAAAGAATTTTGATTAGATGTAAAAAGTTATACACATCATTTATTATAAGATATACAGCTACATCATAAATCTCTCGATTTAGACAAACACTTTAAGTAGTTTGCCCAGAGTCCCTAGGAGAATATAAATGTGTATTTTATTAGAACACTTTAAAAATTAAATGGAAAATTAAGTTAGGTATTGTTTCAGGACCTGACAGAACAGCAGGGAAGACTAGTAGAAAAGTTAAGTTTCCTCCCAGTGACCAGACACTGCTGGCTCAGGGCCCAGTTCAGATGTTGGATTATGAATGGTGAGCAGAGCAATGCAGGTACCTAAGGAAGTTGTTTTGGGAACAAAATAAAGTCCAAATGGCTGAGTTTTGACTTAAACTGAACTCTCAACCCTTGTGCCTGTGAACATACCCAATTTTATACTTTAAGAGGTTTAAGAGAAAATAGGATGTCTTTACACTTAATATCAGAAATAAAACTTTAGGCCTAGGAATGTAGCTTAGTGGTAGAGTGTTTGCCTAGCATGGGGCAGACTTTGTTGTGGATCCTCAGTATAGAGAGTGGATAAATAATAAAATTATAAAAGCACATACACAATTTCTTACAATGAAATTTTGCACAGTAAGAAAGTATTGGTGAGCTGGGCCCTGCCTCCCCAGCCTCTGGGAAGATCCTGCCTGGATGGGGAAGTACATTCTCACATTGACCAAAACATCCAGCCAACTTTCTCTGGAGCACCCATGTGCTTCCTTTACCCCTCTCCTCTGTCACTGCTTCTCCATTAACCTCGGCCAGTGAGGCCTGTGGTCCACACGGCCACCTGAGCTGACAGTGCTTTGCATCTTCACCTGCTCAATCTGAGTGGAGGGCTTCCAGGGAAACTGGACATACAGTATTTTGTTTTAAGAATGCCTCAGTTAGCAAAGGATTAAGGGTTACAGAATGATATAATTTATTTGAGGAATTCTACTTGTAATTATTCTGAGTTACATATAAAAATACAGGAAATGATAATCTTTTTGATTATTGAAACAAGACATCCTACCTTGTATCTTGAAAATTTCAAAGCAAAAAAAAAAATCAGTGCTTCAATACTATCAAGATATGAAGTAATTTGGCATGAAGAAAATCAAGTAGAAAATTACAATCAAGACAGGTGGTGCATGTCTATAATCCTAGAGCCGTGGAAAGCTGAGGAAGGAGGATTGCAAGTCTAGTAATTTACTCAGTCTGGGCAATTTACCAGATTAGTCAAACCCTGCCTCAAAAAAAATTTAAAAGCCTGGCACTATAGCTCAGTGGAAAGGTCCTGAGTTCAACCCCTCATATTGCAATCAATCAATCAATCAATCAATACATACACACATACATACCAAAACCCCCAGAAAATTAGAATCATGTTCTGTGAAGACTAGTTTGTGAAGACCATAGTCTAGAAAGACTATTATTTAAAGAAATCCTTCACTAATCACATGTCCTTAAAAATCCCTTTGCTGATAAAATAATTTTAGGAGAAAAAATCCATTACCCTAGCATATTTTCACTACTCTCAACATACACTCTACTTCACTTCAACAGATCAAGCTTCCAAAATAAATGCCTATTGTTCTATCAACACACAGTATATCAGTGTATCAACGCACATGTGTATCAGAGTCTGTACTTCCACATAGCACAAGGGTTAAGAATATTCAGACTGTCAAACTAGATGCACAATAGTCTTTCTTTTGCATTCAAACATAATGTCTTATACTAGCACTGTCAGTACTAGCATTAGGGTACTTCCTATGATTTTCAAGGGTTTTATAGTATTTTAAGTCAGATTTCAAACATACTGACAAAAACAATGAACCCCATAATCATGTCCTGATTTTACAAGGTGTACTTGTGTTATTCTTTCTTACATGAAGAAGAGGAAATCACCAGGAAAACTAAATAAGGTACAATGGAGCACCTAACACTATCTAGGAGATTTAGACATCTGTCCTCCAGCCTCCAAACAGAAGAATTAAAAAAAAGCTCTCCAAATGTGTTATTCTATACTTCCAACATTTCTCAAGGTGTATTCTGAGTGTGTGTGTGTGTAACTGTGTGTGTGTTGGAGATTGAACGAAGAACCTCATGCATGCTAGCCAAGTGTTATACCATTCATCTTCCTGGATTATTGCAAATGGCTGTGTTCTAATCATACTCTGTCCAGAACTAACATGTATGTGTCTTGCACAAGACACTTAAAGCACTATTAAGGGCAAGTAAAAAAAAATCTACTGCATAAATAATACTAAAGGATCCATTTCTTACATCATCTCACTATTCAACAATGGTTAACTCAGGTTGATAGGTGTAATTTACCTGACTTGTTTTCAAATGACATCATAAAACTATTCTTGATTGGTAGGACACAAAAGTGCTTGTGTTCTTACATAAAAGCCAAATCACAAAGATCAAAACATTTGAAGACTATTTAGAGTGGGTAGCACTTCACATCCTTAATCCTAGTGCCCTTGAGCCTAGCATTGCACCATGAATCAATCCCAGCATCACACACTCTAGACCCGCCTATGACTGCCTGAGGTTTTGTGGAGACATCTAGACATAATCCATAACAGACATCTTATTTTATTAACTGTTTCTACTTCCCAAATACGGTAGGAATGAAAAAAATGTGAAGATAAATATAATCCAAAATTAGATTATATCAGAACCAAATTTCTCCCACATGACTGTTTAACAGCACAGTTAAAGAATCTATCAGGTTACCCGAGCTATAGAGATTTGAGGATCACCCAACAAGTTTTTGAATGTACGCCAGGCAATCCATTTGAATTGATGACAGAAAGGCGTGACATGGCTGGTCTTCTTGACTACTAAGCTCTTCTTCTGATCTCCTGAGAGTTGATCTAAATCATCTTTTATTTTTTTGCACATGGAGGACTTGGCATAAAATTCTGCTAAATTTTCTCTGACTGATTTTTTTCTCTTGCAAAGTTCTTCAGTCTCATTGGCTTGTAGGTAAAAGTAGATAAAGAAGGAAAACATTATTATCAGATAGCTATTGATTTAAATCATTTTTCTGTAACTTTCTTATTGATTAACATTTAAATTCTAAAGCTTGACTAATTAATATTACTAGCTTTAGTACTGCTTTACACATTAGAAAAGCATAGCTAGTGATCTGACTGCCATCATATCTTACGGATACAGCAAGCTCAATGACCTTTTCCTAATGTATTTGGATCCTAGTTTCTAAAATAGACTTCTTATCATACACAGTAACATGTCTTAATGTTAAGAATCTGGTCCCTGCTTTCTACTATGTACAAATGCATAATGTTTCTTATTTTTTAAATTCTATAAACAGTGAGCATATATATTGTTAATGGTAACTCACAACTAACAGTATTATATAAACGCCCATTCATTAATTAAATCAAAAACATCCACAGTACCTATGGACAAGACTCTGTTGACTCATATCAGAACACTGCACTAATGTGAATTCACAAAGACATGTTTTAATGAGACACCACATTGCTAACTTTCTGCCAGATCAGTTAAGCAAAAACACATGAATCTAAGGTTCATGTACCTTCACAGTCTTCTTCCTCTCTGTTTAATGGCACAGCAGAGGAGTCTCCACTAATCACATCCAGGAAAAAGTCAGCAGGATTGTTGTAGGGTTCACAGCTGTAACCTAAGAGAGAAGGCAATGCAAGAACATAGAGGATTCACTTTTAGAGAGTGGGTGAGGTGAGGCCTGGGAACATGGATTCTAACTTCTCCTTCATCTTCTTGCTCTCTTCTCTCCTTATCAATTCATCTTTTCTTCTTATGTATTTAATCATATAACAATTTACAATTTTCTTTCTCAGATAGACATATTTTTTGTCTCCCACACCAATTTTGGACTCTTCAGAGCATCTTATATTCATTCTTACCAAACAAAAATCATGAAACCCAAACAGATATTCTATGGTGCTTATTCATACTTATTCATAAATATAAAGCTGGGATAAAATAGTTTAATATGCCCATGTGCACTGTGTTCTCTAAGTTCCTCTAAGGAAAGCTGGAACAGCTTTATAGGTCAGCAATGACAGCTTCTCCACCTACTAAATTCAGAGGTCTCAACTGTCATCAGTGCCCACTGCTACCACTACCAGATCCCAAACCCACAAGGCCTGCGTGGTAAGCAGAAACAAAGAGGAACCAGGAGCCCCATACCCTCACCATCGCAGCCAGCCCAGGCCTGGGAGGGAAGAGGAGAGCAAACTACCAAATTCTAGCCAGTTCTGTTCCAGTTCTCTATAGCACAGGGCAGCAGAAGTGACAACCAAAACACTGACCCAACTGACGATAAGACCAACACCCAGAGGAGAGTTTCATTCCAGGGCAGGGGTGTTACCCTACCAGAGACTGAGTGAGAGACAGCCTTTGGAGACAGGCTTGGAGAGGGGGAGAGCTAGACAGGAATGTCCCAGGATACCATGGGAGGCTCAGGCTTGAGCCAGGAGGATCACAGCACCTGTATTCTGTGGAAGAAGACCAGGTTTGGTAGGATGGGCCTTACGGAGATGGCATTTATTCCAGTGGTGTGTAAACTACTGCTTACAACCAGAAGACATTAATGGTCTGAAATACTATAGGTAATATCTGGGTGGCCTAAGTGTCTTCACTAAAATTATAGACCTCTTTGCTCTGGTAAAGGGGATTTTTTTGAATGGTTTTTAGGTTTTGTCAGCATCTAGTTGATTCTTGATGTCCTTGTTGTCACTGACTTTACTACTATAAATAAGGTGACATCTGTTGCTATCAATTGGTTTTCTCTGTATGCTAATATCTACATTGCCTGGGGGTCATAAATAATACAGTAGCTCACTCCTGAAGTACTGGGCACTGGGCCAAAGAGTTGCAAACCCCACTACAAAAAACAAATAAACAAAAAAATAGAAACATGAAAAGATGAGGCAAAAAATACCTCTAAAAATTCTTGAATCTCCCAAAATTGGTTCAGGGGGCAGTGAGGGGTAGGAAAGCCTAAGCCACATAACAGAAGGGTCAGAAAGGGTATCAATGGAGATAAAAGAGTTCAAGAAAGTACTTGGCAAATTTAAATAAGACATAACTAATCAGATGATGATCCTAATGAAACAAATGATCAGCAAGACTAGAGAAGACACTAATAAAAATCTAATACAGCTAAAGAAAGAGATGCAAAACATCAATGCCCAGCACAGAAAAGAAGGGGAGTCCATAAAATAGTTCTAAACAGAAATCCATGAGACTTAAAGCATGATGGGAAGTATGGGTAGCAGAGTGACCAATGTGAACACAGAGTATTGGATCTAGAGGACAGGGCTGTGGTCAATGATCACTTTAGGAGAAGTACCTTAAAACAACAATAGGACATAAAAGATGGACCCAGCAGCTGCTAGATGACTCAAAGAAGCCTAATATAAGAGGAACTGGAATAAAAAATTAGAAGATGGCACAAGGGCATAAAAACTTGTTTGCAAAAGTAATAGCATAAAACTTGCCAGACACAGAAAATGAATTTACTATCCAGATAAGTGAAGCATGTAGAACCCCATATAGCCATAATCACTTTTTGACTAGAACTGCAATGGCACAAGAAATAATACCAAGAATCAACAAGTGGGGTAATATCAAATTAAAAATCTTCACAGAAAGAAAACCACCAACAGAGTGAAGAGACAACTTGCAGAATGGGAAAAAATTTTGCCATCTATTTCTAGGACAGAGGACTAATATCTAGAATATATAAAGAACTAAAATAAATAAACTTCCTAAAATAAAAGACCCAATCAAAAATGGGCAGCTGAAAATAACAGACAGTTCTAAGAAGTACAAATGGCCAATAAATATATAAAGAAATGTTCAACATTGCTGGCTATTTAAAGAAACACAAATTAAACTACTCTGAGATACCATCTTACCTAGAAAGAATGGCTATCACAAAAAAAATCTAAGAATAAGATGGCAAGGATGTGGAAAAAAAGGAACTCTTCTACATTGTTGCTGGAAATGTAAACTAGTACAACCACCATGGAAATCGATGTGGAGATTCCTCAGTTTTTTAGTTTTTAGTTTTAAAAATAGAAATTCCATTTGACTCAGCTATCCCTCCTTCAGGGTATCTTCCCAAAAGAGTTAAAATTATTGGGGCCAGGGATTTAGCTCAGTGGTTCTGCTGCCTGCCTCACAAGCACAAGGTCCTGAGTTCGATCCCTGGTAGCCAAAAAAAAAAAAAAAAAAAAAAAAGAGTTAAAATTATCATATTACAGAGATACATGCACACCTATGTTTACAGCAGCAAATTTATAATACCTAAATCTTGGAAACAGTGTATATGTCCATGAAAAATGAATAGATAAGGAAAATGTAGCATTTATACAGAATGGAGTACTACTCTGTCATAAAGAAATATAAACTTGAAGAACTTCCCGCTCTCCTTCCCTCTTCCCAGTCTCCCTCCCTCCCTCTTTTTTTTTTTTTTTTTTTTGAGACAATGCCTTGCTATGTAATTCAAGCTGGCCTGGAACTCAGGGTGATCCTCGTGCCTCAGCCTCCTGAGTGCTGGGATGATTACAGGCATGCACTATCAAGCCTGGCTTTCTCTTATCATTTGCCCCCCAAATTTTGTTTTACTGTTTCATAAAATAAAAAAGAATATTCTGAGAATAAAAAGAAAACCAAATTACCATCTGTCATGCTGTCATAATTCCAAATCCTCAAAGTAACATTCTAGAGAGAACATGGCTAGCACAGCACACTTAAACTCTGATCTCAATAACTTCTAGCACAATCATCTGAACTGGGCTTGAAGTCTGACTCAAGTTCATCACCTCTGGACTCCTCAGACCCATACATACCGAATTAGTTTAAAATCATAGAGATTAAACAAACAGGAAAGACAACTAATGAATAACTACAACTGTAGTTGGGGACATTTTGGTGAGAGACATCTATAATCATCTCCCAATATTTCTAAAATGAAGTAGATTACATGAACCATTAAAAGTACCACACAATTCAATTTGAAAGAAAAAGAACCAGGCAACTTCAAAATATCAGAGACACTGAATTAGCCATCTCTTTACTAATAGGTCATTCACAACCACTCCTGGCCTAAATCTGCAATCCAATGTTATTAGAAAATGAAGTAGCATCTCCACGATCCCTCTCCAAGGCAGAGCAAGATCACATCCTAGGGGAAAAATTGATAAATGACCAGCTGTGATGTGGTCAATGAGACAATGATTCTGGGTCTTTCCAAAGATGTTCACTTGACAGAATAACTGGTTGGGAGTCCAACATGTTAGTTACTGAACTGTCAGGCATAGATCACCACACCTAGGGAGCACAACAGACAAGGCCCAGGATGCTCAGACACGCAAGAAATAGAGAGAAACCTAAACACCAAGAAAATGATGCCAAATGAAGAAAAAAATTGGCACCAAATTGGCCAAAGATGTTTTAGAGTACTGGAGCCCAAGGTATCAAACAGTACTCCTGAAGATTCCATGTATGAAGGACTTGCTGCAGGAAGGTCAGCCATACCTGATGACGCAAAGTACTGCACAGCCTCACTTGCAGGACCATGGAACACCAGTTTTCTGGAGGCCAGTAACGTGAGACTATCAAACATCTTGAAGATGGAATCCTGAGGCTGATGAATGGAGAAGATGATTGTTCGTCCCTGCTTAGACATCCTAAGTTAAAAGAGGGAAAACCAATCATTAAACATCTGAACCTTGAACTGGGATCATCTGTTCCCAGTTCACTTGATTATCTCTTACAAACTTCTCATCTCATTTCATATTATCAACTTGTTACCCGAGGAAACTAAATTCTATGCTTTTATTAAAAAGGCTACAGGATCTTAAAGAATACACATTAATAGTACGGAAGCCACTGGAAGAGTCATTGAAAATACTGATTACTGGACAGTCTTACCAGACATTGAATTATAATTTGAAGGTAGAGGAAGTCTCTATTATTAACAAGCATTCAGGTGATTTGTAAATACTAAAGTTTGAGAATTATTTATAGACTAAATAGTAAACAATGATCATATGCCCAATTCTCATTAATCACTTATGTCTTCTAGCTCTTCTGCATTATTTTCATTCTTCTGTCTTGATAATACAACTAACATCACCAAATACTATGTATTTGCTTTTAGAGGTAGGCACATTTCAATTTTTGCAATGTCGTTATAAGGCAGGTCCAACATTATTATTTACTTCATTTAAAAAAATTTTTATTGGTACATTTTAGGTATGCAATATAATGACATTCATCATTGGAAATTTCCACCTTTATGTAATCTCTCTCAGTTCTTATTTTTTGCCCTTCCCCTGTCCTCCCCTCAACCCCTCCACCCCTCCCTATTTGCAAAGACTTTGTTTCTATTTTCTAATTTTCTCATATTAATTCCATTCCCTTCTTTCCTTTCCCCAATCCCTCCCACTTCCCCTTCCCCTTTGGACCTTTTCTTCCTATTTCACAATATCTATTATGTCTTTTGATCCTTATTTACACTTTCGGTTTCTCACACCAGAGAAACTATTCACTATTTACACATCTGTCCTATTTATTTCACTTAAGAGTATCGCCTCAATGTGCTATCATTTAGCTATAAATGTCTCTAATTTCTCATTCTTTATGCCTGAGTGGTACTCCATTTTATTAAAAAAACACCACATTTTCTTTATCCAGTCTCCAGTTGATGGGCATCTGGGCTGTTTCCAAGTTTTAGCTATTACAAACTGTGCTGCTACAAACATGGGTGCACATATATCGCTGTGATATGATTCTTTTAATTCTTTTGGGAAGATACTCAGTAGGGAAATACCTGGGTCAAATGGGACCTTTAATTCTAGTTCTTTGAGGTATCTCCATACTGATTTCCACAGTGGTTGCACCAGTCTACACTCCCACCAACAGTGGAGCAGGGTTCCTTTTTCCCCACAGCCCTGTCAGCATTTGTTAGTGGTTGATTTCATGATAGCAGCCATTCTTTCTGGGGTGAGGTGGAATCTCAGCATTGTTTTCACTTGCATCTCACTAATAACCAGCGATACTGAACATTTTTTCATATGTTTATTTGCTATTTCTACTTCTTTGAGAAATGTCTGTTCATTTCAGATGCCCATTTTTGGATTGGGTCTGTAAATTTGGGAGGTCTGATTTTGTTAAGTTCTTCATATATTCTAGATAATAAACCTTTGCTGAGGAGCAGCTGGTAAAATTTTTTTCCCACATTGTGGGTTGTCTCTTCACGCTGTTGGTGGTTTCTCTTGCTGTTCAGAAGCTTTTTAATAAGAGATCCCACTTGTCGATTCTTTGTGCTAGATCATGTGCAACTGAGGTTTTATTCATTTTATCAGTAAAGCTTAAAGGGTTAAACAATTGGCCACAGGCTCACAGTTAATAGGAAGAAAGGCCAAGATTCGATCGCTGGTCTAATTTCTTGGAAGAAACATTGCTAAATTATGTTTCACAGGAGGTATTACATCTGGATAGAAGAAAAAAGGGTCAAAGTCACTGTTTAAACTGTTATTAAAAATATCTTATGAGAAGAGTTACTTCGATTTAAAATCTGATAAGCACCTCCTGTCTGCTAGTGCTATGGCCATGAGTGTTCTGCCTCAAATTAGCCAGAAGATCAACATTTCAATACAATGTGGAATAGAACTTGCAAAGTATTCCTGGTAAGAAAAACAGGAGACTTAGGGCCCAGTCTGAAGATGATGTAAGAATATGAAAAGTCCCACAGGAGTGAGCTAAAAAGAGATACTCAATATGGAAGAAGGAAGTTATGAAATATGAAATAAAAAGGTCCATTCAGGAAACTACAAAACCTTAATATGGGAAATTAGGAGTGTGTGTGTGTGTGTGTGTGTGTGTGTGTGTGTGTGTGTGTGTAGATGGTACTGGGTGACAATGATAATTAGAGAGATTCCAAAATGAGCAAAGCAAGCCCATTTCACATCTTCACTTAGAAATTGGTACTTTGGTTGGTAGGCAACAGGGAGCTGGTAAAGAACCCAAAGCAGGGAAGTGGGGGAGAGGGGCTGTCTGAAATCCTTGCTACTCAGAATGTTGTCTGAGGACCTGCAGCATCAGCAGAGTACCTCTTAGAGTCTCCCATGGAGAATCTGAGTTCCACCTCAGACCTACCGAAGCAGTCTCTGCATTTTAACCAGATCCCAGGTGATAAGTATGTTGAAACTTCTCTACCTGAGGAGGGATGGTGGTGTAGTGTGTAGTGGAAAATAGAACACTTTTCTATACCAATTCATTATTCTTTAATTAACATTGTAACACAGAGATGAGAAAAATAGTGTGGATATGTTATGTAATGGGACCTAAACTCCAGCACCATAAATTGACATCTTCGTGTATTATGCAGTTGAGATCTCACACTTAGGATGTTTAAAACTTTAGACATTTCCCAACTTCCTGTTTCTTCCCTTCTAGAATATAGACTTGGCCCCAGAAGCATGTGTGTCAGAGGAAGAAAGATAGTGAGGGAGAGAGAGGAGAAGCCTCAAAGTGGTGTATCTGGGAGCTAAAAAAGTGGGTAGAGGGGCTTCCAGAGATGGTGGACAAAGGGAATGACCAGAGCAATTAGGAGATTTGTTGCAGCAAATAATTAAATTACTTGACTGAACAATTGACAAAATATTTTGAGATAATGGGAGCACAATCTCTGCTGCCTAAAGTCACAAACATGGAAAGCAAAAAAAAAGATGAAAAAAATCTCTAAGGTGTTAGCATGCTAGATTAAAACTAGAAATATAATTAAAAACTCATAAGTTTTAAAAATATGTTATATTAACAGAAATAGTCACTGAAGTTATGTTCACATGTGTCTTTCTAATGGAAAAATACATACATGGCCTAGGGATGTGGCTCAGCAGGTGTGTGTGTGTGTGTGCACGTGTGTGTGTGCATGAGTGCATGTATGTTTCTAGTTCTGTCTACGTAGGGTCTAGAAGATGACATTCCAGTAGCAGTGACTGCACTAAGAAACCAATGATGACCCCTAAAACACTGCTCATGCAGAAATAAATAAAACAAAGCAAACCAGTCTGGAATACCAGGTGACCAAAAAGTGAAGAAATACTAGAGGAAATAGTAGGGAAATTTCAAAGCAACACAAAAACCACACTGAATGGGCTTCCATTGGCCAAATCAAGGTTAACAGATTACCATCCTTTACAGAGCATGATAGGAATAAGAAAGGGAAGAAATGTTTTCCTTACATAGAACATCAACTGTTTCAAGTTCAGCAACCACTTCAAGTACTAGTAGTATATGCTAAAACTGTCCTGGAGAGATGTGGTAAGGAACAGAATAAAGACAATAGCCAATTATCTCCCTTACAAAATGCTAATCAGTTCTAAAGGGGAAAAACAGTAAGGTCATAGCAGAACACCACCAGACACGAGCAGGAACAGATGACCAAGGTTCGCATCGCCTATTGTGGGTGCAGCCCCAGGTGTGTTGCACTGAAGACACTGCAGCATTTCAGGGGCTGAATCCGCTCGTGGACATTGGGACAAACCCAGGCTGAGATCATTCCATTAAATGTACTAAGACTCAGAAGGACATGAGACACAGGGAAAGACTAGCAAGCAGTTCTAGAGTAGGAAAAAAACCAGAAAAAATGTGTGTTTCTAGAGAGGATCCAGAGGCCTCCAGAAACAGACACCAGAGAAGCTGGTGACTTCTGAATGGAACCTATAGACTGGATGGTGGCAAAGCCCTGCATGTTGACCTCCTCACTGGGAGGGTGGAATGGTGGAATGTCCTGATTTCTTGGAGTACTTAGGGGTATCAGGCATGATGCTGGAAAAAAAGTATGTATGAGGAGCAGAAAAGGAGAGAGAGGGGGCAAATGAAGTAAAAGAGAACAGCTGAGGAATCTAGATGAAAGGAGTGGGATTCTCTTTGTACTATTCTTGGAGATTTGTGTAGATTTGACATTATTTGTATTAATTTATAAAAAATAGCTAAAACTTAATTTTTGAATATTTTTCCTAAAAAGGCTCCTTCTGGGTTCCAGGCCACCATCCCTCCCACCGCTCCCGGCCCAGAGGGAGGGGTTTCTGAGCCACCATCCCACTGCTCCTGGTCCAGAGGAAGGGGCTTCCTGGCCAACATCCCGCCTGCTGCTCCCAGCCCACAGGAAAGGGCTTTTGGGTCACCATCCCTACCGCTGCTCCCGGCCCCTGTCCCACCTCACCCAGCTCAGAGGAGGTAATCCCTGCAGGCGCTAACAGCCCCCCGCCCCAGTCGAAATGAGAAAACACGTAAGTAAGTCTCAAAAACAGACTTCCAGATCACTTACAGCAGCCACAAAGGGAAATGAGATGGAACACTCTGATACTCAACCACCTGGACCCACTGAACTGGTAACAAAAGGGGATGTGGAAAAAATGAAATCAGACATAATTTCTCAGATAACAGGAGAAATTGTGCCCCTAGTGCAAGACATGATTAATAAATTTAGAGAGGAGCTGAGCAACATGATGGAATCCCAACATAAGAAACAAATGGAATCCATAAAACAGATGCAAATACATTTCTAGGACATGAAAAACTCCATTGAAAGTCTACACAGCAGAATGAGCCAATGTGAGGACAGAATTTCAGATATAGAAGATAAGATTGC